CACCAATCGCTCCTCTCCCTCCCGCACCCACTTTCCTGTAACCACAAACTTCTGCTGAACACTCTAACACTACATTTTAAAACCTTCCCATACCTCTTCGACCCCATTGCCTATGCTCTCATTAGCCCATCTATCCTCCAATAGCTGTTTTATATCTTACCCTAACTGCCTCCTCTTTTAGTTTATAAACCTTCACCTCTCTCTTCCCTGATGCTTCTATTCTCCTTGTATCCCATCTACCTTTTACTCTCAGTGTAGCTACAACTAGAAAGTGATCTGATATATCTGTGGCCCCTCTATAAACATGTACATCCTGAAGTCTACTCAACAGTCTTTTATCTACTAATACATAATCCAACAAACTACTGTCATTTCGCCTACATCATACGTTGTATACTTATTTATCCTCTTTTTCTTAAAATATGTATTACCTATAACTAAACCCCTTTCTATACAAAGTTAAATGAAAGGGCTCCCATTATCATTTACACCTGGCACCCCAAACTTACCTACCACACCTCCTCTAAAAGTTTCTCCCACTTTAGCATTCAGGTCCCCTACCACAATTACTCTCTCACTTGGTTCAAAGGCTCCTATACATTCACTTAACATCTCCCAAAATCTCTCTCTCTCCTCTGCATTCCTCTCTTCTCCAGGTGCATACACGCTTATTATGACCCACTTCTCGCATCCAACCTTTACTTTAATCCACATAATTCTTGAATTTACACATTCATATTCTCTTTTCTCCTTCCATAACTGATCATTTAACATTACTGCTACCCCTTCCTTTGCTCTAACTCTCTCAGATACTCCAGATTTAATCCCATTTATTTCCCCCCACTGAAACTCTCCTACCCCCCTTCAGCTTTGTTTCGCTTAGGGCCAGGACATCCAACTTCTTTTCATTCATAACATCAGCAATCATCTGTTTCTTGTCATCCGCACTACATCCACGCACATTTAAGCATCCCAGTTTTATAAAGTTTTTCTTCTTCTCTTTTTAGTAAGTGTCTACAGAGAAGGGGTTACTAGCCCATTGCTCCCGGCATTTTAGTCGCCTCATACGACACGCATGGCTTACGGAGGAAAGATTCTTTTCCACTTCCTCATGGACAATAGAAGAAATACAGAAGAACAAGAGCTATTTAGAAAAAGGAGAAAAACCTAGATGTATGTATATATATATGCATGTGCGTGTCTGTCAAGTGTGACCAAAGTGTAAGTAGGAGTAGCAAGATATCCCTGTTATCTAGCGTGTTTATGAGACAGAAAAAGAAACCAGCAATCCTAGCATCATGCAAAACAGTTACAGGTTTCTGTTTCACAGTCATCTGGCAGGACGGTAGTACTTCCCTGGGTGGTTGCTGTCTAGCAACCTACTACCTAGTAAGGTAGTAAGGGCAATGTGTGGTGTAAATATTATGCAGAAAATCTGCAGTGTGGAAATTAGGAAAAGGTGGAGTTAATAAAAGTATTAGTCAGAGGGCAGAAGAGGGGTTGTTGAGGTGGTTTGGTCATTTAGAGAGAATGGATCAAAGTAGAATGACATGGAAAGCATATAAATCTATAGGGGAAGGAAGGCGAGGTAGGGGTCGTCCTCGAAAGGGTTGGAGAGAGGGGGTAAAGGAGGTTTTGTGGGCAAGGGGCTTGGACTTCCAGCAAGCTTGCGTGAGCGTGTTAGATAGGAGTGAATGGAGACGAATGGTACTTGGGACCTGACAATCTGTTGAAGTGTGAGCAGGGTAATATTTAGTGAAGGGATTCAGGGAAACCGGTTATTTTCATATAGTCGGACTTGAGTCTTGGAAATGGGAAGTACAATGCCTGCATTAATATTACGTGTATTAATTTAGGGCACTGGAGCACAGATCCACTGTATAACACTTTGTCTGGATTTTTTGGGTTATCCTAGGTAGTTTATACTATGTATGATAACTTCACTTACGTGTACCTGTGAGAGAGAGAGAGAGAGAGAGAGATACAGAGAGATACAGAGAGATACAAAGAGAGAGATACAAAGAGAGAGATACAAAGAGAGAGATACAAAGAGAGAGATACAAAGAGAGAGATACAGAGAGAGAGACAGCCACATTCAGTCAGCCAGTCAGCCAACCAGCCAGCCAACCAACCAACCACCCCCCCACCCACCCGGCCACCCACCCGGCCAGCCAGCCAGCTACGTATTACACGTTCCAGAGTTATTTCTCTTTACTTAGGGTATAGGTTATACTACATTCTGGCAGGATGACACTACCAGTGATATTCTCCCATTCCACCGTGTCGACAATACATCAAGATAACAGTAACATATGATACTGTATGCGATGTACACATGTACACATTATATACAGTACATAAATAATTAAAATATAACAATAGAAGTAAATTATGGTAAAAAGAATGAAATAATGATTGTACATTACATTACAGTACTATGTAGGAAGTTTATATAGGAAAGGTTTGACATTATGCCCTACCCAGTGTGTTGGCAATTTTCAAAGGTTCGACTTACGTCCATTTTGACTTACGACCGGTTGGTCAGAACCAAGCTTGGTCATAAGTCGGATGGTAGGTGTAATAATATCATTCACTCTAAAAATGGTGCGTTGCATGAGAATGGGAGTGTTGCTGTATATTTATTCTTCTGTACTAACTTGTACAACTTGTACACAATATGAGAGTATTTGTATTGTGAAGTAATTATTATTATAATAAAAAAAAAATATTGTGAGGTAAAGGTTTCACAAACTCTTACAAGCGTACATAAATGAACTAAAATTGGACACGTATTAATACACGTTTATTTCGCCTGACCGAGTGCTTGCCCACCACCCGCTAAGTTTGTGTTTTGACGTTGTCATAACTCGTGTATCTCATTCTCTCTCGTTTACTATTTCGTTAACTAGTTGGCTCTCGTTGACGATGGTGTCTAAGCTTAGTTGTGATAAAAAGAAGAGCCGTAAGCCTCTTACTTAAAGTGCCAAGTTAGAAATGATTAAACTTAGTGAACTGACTTTTTTTTGGGTTATCCTAGGTTCTCTACACATATGTATGATAATCTATGTAACTGTATTTGTGGCTGAGATAGCCATCAAATACAGTTACATACAGCACCATACGTGTAAAGAACCTGGGAAAACCTAAAAAGAGTCAAAGTGACTTATTTCTGACATGGAAAAACTTTTACACTGCCACTCACCTTTCACACATTCATATTAATATTTTAAGGTAACAAGTGTACTGTGTGTATTTTACTTTGTGTTTTTTGATGCCTATTTCTATTGCTAACTTAATCCTTTCAGGGTCTCCAGGCCCTCTCCCAGACTTGTTCTCAGGGTCCCTGGAGTTTACCTGAGAATCTTTTCCCAATCATAATGACACCAAAAGTATGAAATTTGATGGAAAACTTACGTAATTATGCTCTCGCGACGATGTTTACGCATTGGCGATTTTGCCCACTTTGAGCTCTATTTTCGGCCAATTCCAGTGTACTAGTCAACAAAAATCATAACTATTTCACTAGAACTCCATTTTTTCTATTGAATAAGTACAAGAAACCACCCTTTTACCAATTTCAACTATCCAATAAAGTGGTCAGAATTTAGCAATTTTGCCAATCTCACACAAATTTCAGAAGATGCCAATTTCCAAATAGGGTCCAGAATAAACAAGAAAGACATTCCTGGCACTAAAATAACAAGTTCTCTATTCGTTAGTCACATCCCCAGGCCTCTCTTATATTTCTTTGGCTTTCCACTTTGAATTTTTATTCTTACAAAAAATAGATTTACTGTTATGCAGACTACTGCATTAGTGTAGAAATGGTATAAATAATATCAGCGAACTTGTGAAAGAATATTAGACTCATCAGTTGATGTGTATTGGACGCTTGGCATGATTTGTTTACTTTTGAACTTTGGTAAAAATCGAACATTTCTGATTCTTTGAGCTCAATTTCAAGGTACTTTTCATTGTAAAACCAGTCAAAATCATCTCAATTTCTGTAATATGTCTTCCATTCTATAATATGAGATCAGGAAAACTAGAATACAACAATAAATACCATACGAAAATACAGTGCAAAGTCGCAGTTTTAATCCAAAAACACGTTCGAAGTTTTTTTTTTCTCATTACGCACTGTGTGCTGCAGGATTTCTTTTATACTCCACACACTGACCACATGGACCCATTCTTTCATATGTAGGCCTACCAGCTTTCTCTCACTAGATTTGAGGGCGCTAGAATTTAGGGATACTGGTACATCAAAAACCCTGGGGCCTAAGCCGTACTAGCACGGCCGAAACCCTGAAAGGGTTAATGTATGTTAGTGAAACCTGTTATCTAGCATTTATATGGGGGGGAAAAAAAAGGGTGTTCCACTTTATGGCAGTAGCCTGGAACTTAACCTGCCATATAAGCGGGGCCCTACTGTACATGAAACGTATCATTTACACCTCATGATTTGTGTGTACATGTGAAAATATGTGTATATGCACGTACACCTGTGAAGAAATTTCTAATCCATTATTCTCCAAGAAGAGTATTATTTCCTTTATTAATGTAATGTCATGAGAGCAATAAAGAGTGAGCCTTTTCCTGGGTCTAGAATTACTATTACACAATAAATAAAACAGAGATTACTATCTTCCTATTTGGTTGGATACATCGCATGCCATGCAATAAAATTCAAAACTTCATACGTGAGGATCAGCAGTATTGACATCAGCACCCGCCTGCAGGAGAAGTGTGACAGCTTGTAGACGCCCCTCAAAAGAAGCATGATGGAGGGCTGTCCAGTGTGCTGCATCACGAACTTCTATCTGAAGCCTGCACATAATATAATGGCATCAGTCAAAAACTATCATTCGTAAATAATGTATAGCAAATGATGTGATTCATGACGAAGCAATTAAGACTAATAGAGTAAATTCTCGATTTAATAGACTAATTGATACAGGTGCTCCTTGACTTATATTCTGACTTTTCTGATGGTGCAAAAGCAATTACTTTGGAGATGAAACTTAAGATAATTACCCAGCAAGAAGGTGGCACATCCACAACTTATATACATTTTTTTTTTCTTTTCAGTACTGGCATTCAGTTACAGTAATTTTTTTTTATTTACTAATTCACTGACTGTAATTATTTACTTATTTATTTAGCAAATCATATTCAACTTACGATGGGTCTGTCAGAATGTAACCCCCATCCTAAGTCGAGAAGCACCTGTAGTAATGGTGGATAGAGATTGCATTTTCTGATCCTAACAATAACGGATAATTCTGCAACCCATGGGCTTTGTCTGTTGCTTCCTAAAGATAACATTAACATTACATAATGCATAGTTAAGGGTCTACTAGTGTTCGATTTCTAACTACCCAATCTCAGATAGAGCAATGGCCCACTTGTTGAAGGAATAATAAATTAACAATTAAGGGTTGTTGAGGTGGTTCGGACATGTAGAGAGAATGGAGCGAAACAGAATGACTTCAAGAGTGTATCAGTCTGTAGTGGAAGGAAGGCGGGGTAGGGGTCGGCCTAGGAAGGGTTGGAGGGAGGGGGTAAAGGAGGTTTTGTGTGCGAGGGGCTTGGACTTCCAGCAGGCATGCGTGAGCGTGTTTGATAGGAGTGAATGGAGACAAATGGTTTTTAATACTTGACGTGCTGTTGGAGTGTGAGCAAAGTAACATTTATGAAGGGATTCAGGGAAACCGGCAGGCCGGACTTGAGTCCTGGAGATGGGAAGTACAGTGCCTGCACTCTGAAGGAGGGGTGTTAATGTTGCAGTTTAAAAACTGTAGTGTAAAGCACCCTTCTGGCAAGACAGTGATGGAGTGAATGATGGTGAAAGTTTTTCTTTTTCGGGCCACCCTGCCTTGGTGGGAATCGGCCGGTGTGATAATAAAAAATAAATAATGAAAAGTTATGAAAAAATTAAAGGGCAGAAGTTTCAGTAATCTTGCAAGTCACCAATTATTAGCACAGACATCGCTGAAATATAAGAAAAGGAGTGGGGTGTTATGGAACCATCTTTATATCACATCCAGCAATTCTTCCACATTACAGGAGTGCAAATGAAGTAACAACAATGATTATGATTTATTTAAATACTGGCACATGAATTGTCATCAATTACCAATTCACTTCAGGTAAATAATGTGAAAGCCAGCTCACCCAAGGTGAACACTGTAGCTCAGCGGTAACTCCTCCAGTTCAAACCCGTAGGATTTTTTTATATTTTTTTATTAACACATCGACCGTTTCCCACCAAGGCAGGGTGGGCCAAAAAAGAAAAACTTTCATCTTCATTCACTCCATCACTGTCTTGCCAGAGGCATGCCTACACTACAGTTACAAAACTGCAACATTAATTAATACCCCACCTTCAGAATGCAGACACTGTACTTCCCATCTCCAGGACTCAAGTCCGGCCTGCCAATTACCCTGAATCCCTTCATAAATGTGATGGAGTGAAGCAGGTGCAGAATATGGGCAAAGATATGGGTTCAATTCCTGCCAGGTATAGAATATGGGTAAGTTTCCTTGCTCTTGCTGCCCACAGTCAACAAACAGTACACAATAAACATTAAAATGGTATAAAATACCGACAGGTTGTTAGGTAAGACATATGCAACAGTTAGGTATCTTTATTTCGAAACGTTTCGCCTACACAGTAGGCTTCTTCTTGTGTCTTACCTAACAACCTGTCAGTATTTTATACCATTTTAATGTTCCCTCTGTCAGACACTGCAATACAAGGGTATCTTGGTACAGACCTGAAATCAACTTGGACTACTTCTCCTAATGAGAATGGCTGGATTTGAGAGGGACCTGACATCCCAACGACTTCATTCTTACCTCTACTAGTAGCCTACATCTCACCTCTTTGCGGTATATAACGCTCCATCCTGTCACTTCAACTCCATATTGTTTTAGACTATGGAACAATACTCTTCTCCAGACTGAGGGACTGACCACCTCAAAACTTCAAGGGTGATGAACTGATTACATCATCTTCAAGTATCTTCTGCTTCTATCAACTTTTCTGTACTCGACTTTAAGAAGCCTACTGTGTAGGCGAAATGTTTCGAAATAAAGATACCTAACTGTTGCATATGTGTCTTACCTAACAAACAGTACACATCTCAGTAGTAGTACCAGTTCCTAGTAACCAGTTACCAGTAACCAGTGTACCAGTAGATGACTCACTACAAGGCTAAATATTGGGAGTGGCATCTTAGGGGTGATAATATAAATTACAGTTTTCTTTGAAACAAGCCTAGGTACAATAACAGCTCCTAGACTGTACATTTAATGAAGAGACAAAAAGAGGAAATGCCAACCAACTCAAGGCAAAGAATGTGAAAGAACAGTCCATCTCACCCAAGACGAACAGTATGGAGAGGAGGTAGCGCAGAACTGCCAGACAACCAAATTTGCTGCCAGATGTAGGAGATTACAGGTAATGCCTCGGAATCTGACCAGAGCAACACCTCTCCGCCACTCTCCATGCATAGCCAGAGCTTCCACCACAGCAACATGATCACGGTCTGTAAACAATATATCAATTATTCAAATAAACTCTAACCAATTAAATGTATTTATTATAAACGAGATGGAAGGAAATTTTCTAACAAAAATATTATAGGGTTTTAGCTGAACATACAAAAACATCTGAGCTAAAAATAAAAAATAAGGGCAATATGAATAATAAATGCTGAGGAATCAACCTTCCATGGTAACAGTAATAAGGCAGATACATGGAACATCACATTGTAACTCATTTCTTTAATGAAACATGTAAACTCTTGAACTAAATAAAGTACGTATTTGGTTGTAGTCTTAAATTGTAGTAGCAGCAGTGGTGACTATGCTGAAACTGTAAAACAACATGGAACGGGTGGGGTGTGAAACCGTGGTGACTCACTCGTCGTGGTTTGTTTGCAATTGTGTTATTACAATTTTGTGAGTCCTGAGCTTGTAAACTTATGTAATCTCAGTGCAGCCAGCACTATCTCTACTATAATTAAAGACATCATCAGACAGAAAACTCAACTACTGGAGGATTATACAATTTCATGGAAACAACTGTGACAAAACCTATGTAGGCAAGACATTCAGAGCACTCCGGAAAATAATAATGTAATGATTGTAAATTATTTTTTTTATTAACACACCGGCCGATTCCCACCAAGGCAGGGTGGCCCGAAAAAAGAAAAACTTTCATCATCATTCACTAGTGTGCTTTACACTACAGTTATAAAACTGCAACATTAACACCCCTCCTTCAGAGTGTAGACACTGTACTTCCCATCTCCAGGACTCAAGTCCGGCCTGCCGGTTTCCCTGAATCCCTTCATTCACTCCTATCAAATACGCTCATGCACGCTTGCTGGAAGTCCAAGCCCCTTGCACACAAAACCTCCTTTACCCCTCCCTCCAACCCTTCCTAGGCTGACCCCACTACAGATTTATACACTCTCAAAGTCATTCTGTTTTGTTCCACTCTCTCTACATGTCTGAACCACATCAACAACCCCTCCTCAGCCCTCTGGATAATGGTTTTGGTAATCCCACACCCTCTCCTAATTTCCAAACTAAAAATTCTCTGCATTATATTCACACCACACATTGCCCCCAGACATGACATCTCCACTGCCTCCAGCCTTCTCCTTGTTGCAACATTCATCACCCATGCTTAACACCCATACAAGAGTGTTGATACAACTATACTCTCATACATTCCCCTTTTTGCTTCCACGGACAAAGTTCTTTGTCTCCACAGACTCCTAAGAACACCACTCACCCTTTTCCCCTGATCAATTCTGTGATTCACCTCATCCTTCATAGACCCATCTGCTGACACGTCCACTCCTAAATATATGTATACATTCACCTCCTCCATACTCTGCAACTTCTCTTCAGAATCTCCTAAAAGCACCGTGTCATCAGCAAAGAGCAACTGTGACAACTCCCACTTTGTGTTTCATTCTTTATCTTTTAACACCACACCTCTTGCCAAGACCCCTAGCATTCACTTCTCTTACAACTCCATCTATAAATATATTGAACAACCACGGTGATATCACACATCCTTGTCTAAGGCTTACTTTTACTGGGAAATAATCTCCCTCTCTCCTACATACTCTAACCTGAGCTTCACTATCCTCGTAAAAACTCTTCACTGCTTTCAGTAACCTACCTCCTATACCATACACCTGCAACATCTGCCACACTGCCCTCCCTATCCACCCTGCCATATGCCTTTTCTAAATCCATAAATGCCACAAAAACCTCTTTACCCTAATCTAAACACTGTTCACCTATATGTTTCACTGCGAACACTTGGTCTACACACCCCCTACCTTTCCTGAAGCCTCCTTATTCATCTGCTATCCTACTCTGTAAAAAATAACCATAATTTTAAAAGGGAAGGACTGGTAAGCCAGTGAAAGACCTCAGTCAGATGACCACAAGCTCCACTGGTGACTGTCCTGTTTCCTGACATACCTTACCTAATCTAACCTCCAGAAACACTTAACACAGCACCAGTATGCTAGCAAAATGGAAAGCTTTCAGTGCCTGCACAATACACTATAAATCCCAAAACCACTTGATAAACTGAAATGGTGTACCACTTGTTGCCAGTGAAAATTATACCCAGAGAAGAAAATACCTTGCATCAGAACTCATCAGTACTGTGGAAAATAATTTTCCCAAAAATTATGCTGTATATTTTTATAATGTAAATATACCTGATTAATACATTACTATTGCTCTAAAGCGTATTTTAAAGAAGAGAATCGACAGGGAAGCTCTGCGCCTGCGCTGACGAGCAGGGGAAGGAGACGCCATTGTTTTTGTATGTGGTACAGGCACGCTAATGTAATGTGCATAAATTTTCGTCGCTCTAGGGGTTATATTGGTCTTAAAACCTCTCAAATAGGAGCCGAAATTGTTGGATTTGCAGTCCTGTATAACGAGAGCATTAAGCAGATGGACAGGACCGCTTTGGAACCCCAGCTAAGTCATGTCTATTTATGTTGGAATTCTGGCCAGTATTTTCTTCATAAATTTAGGCAGGGGGGTATGATACACTGTAATCTCCTGACTAATTGGTGAGTCTTATGATTATAAATTCTCTTTCTGCAGATGACACCCGAATCTGCATGACAGTGTCTTCCATTGCACACACTGCAAGGCTCCAGGCAGACATCAACCAAATCTTTCAATGGGCTGCAGAAAACAATATGAAGTTCAATGATGAGAAATTTCAATTACTCTGATATGGTAGACACGAGGAAATCAAAACTTCATCAGAGTACAAAACAAATTCCGGCCACAAAATAGAGAGAAAAACAAACGTCAAAGACCTGGGAATGATCATGTCGGAGGATCTCGCCTTCAAGGACCATAACATTATATCAATTGCAGCTGCTAGAAAAATGACAGGATGGATAATGAGAACCTTCAAAACTAGGGATGCCAAGCCCATGATGACACTCTTCAGGTCGCTTGTTCTATCTAGGCTGGAATACTGCTGCACACTAACAGCACCTTTCAAGGCAGATGAAATTGCTGACCTAGAAAATGTACAGAGAACCTTCACAGCGCGCATAACGGAGATAAAACACCTCAATTACTGGGAGCACTTGAAGTTCCTGAACCTGTATTCCCTGGAATGCAGGCGGGAGAGATACATGATTATATACACCTGGAAAATCCTAGAGGGACTAGTACCGAACTTGCACACGAAAATCACTCACAATGAAAGCAAAAGACTTGGCAGACGATGCAACATCCCCCCAATGAAAAGCAGGGGTGTCACTAGCACGTTAAGAAAAATACAATAAGTGTCAGGGGCCCGAGACTGTTCAACTGCCTCCCAGCATACATAAGGGGGATTACCAATAGACCCCTGGCAGTCTTCAAGCTGGCACTGGACAAGAACCTAAAGTCGGTACATGACCAGCTGGGTTGTGGCTCGTACGTTGGATTGCGTGCAGCCAGCAGTAACAGCCTGGTTGATCAGGCTCTGATCCACCAGGAGGCCTGGTCACAGACCGGGCCGCTGGGGCATTGACCCCTGGAACTCTCTCCAGGTAAACTCCAGGTAAATGTGTATATGTAATCATTTATTAATTTTAACATACAGTCCACATATTTATATTAATGTATACCATAATTCCTGGTAATGTATATTTCATTTGAAATTAATATAGGTCAAGAGTGACTTGTGGATATGACAGTAGTAGGTATCGAAGGGGGACATTTTTTTTGCGACCTAGGTGTCCAAAAATTCCTACTTGTCTCTGTAACCTTGATAAAGAATAATTATCTTTGTTACCATTTACTGGTATGTATCTTATGAGTTACATCCAGGTAGTAGGTTGGTAGACAGCAACCACCCAGGGAAGTACTACCGTCCTGCCAGATGACTGTGAAACAGAAACCTGTAACTGTTTTGCATGATGGTAGGATTGCTGGTTTCTTTTTCCGTCTCATAAACACACTAGATAACAGGGATATCTTGCTACTCCTACTTACACTTTGGTCACACTTCACAGACACGCACATGCATATATATATACATACATTTAGGTTTTTCTCCTTTTTCTAAATAGCTCTTGTTCTTCTTTATTTCTTCTATTGTCCATGGGGAAGTGGAAAAGAATCTTTCCTCCGTAAGCCATGTGTGTCGTATGAGGCGACTAAAATGCCGGGAGCAATGGGCTAGTAACCCCTTCTCCTGTAGACACTTACTAAAAAAGAGAAGAAGAAAAACTTTATAAAACTGGGATGCTTAAATGTGCGTGGATGTAGTGCAGATGACAAGAAACAGATGATTGCTGATGTTTATGAATGAAAAGAAGTTGGATGTCCTGGCCCTAAGCGAAACAAAGCTGAAGGGGGTAGGAGAGTTTCAGTGGGGGGAAATAAATGGGATTAATCTGGAGTATCTGAGAGAGTTAGAGCAAAGGAAGGGTAGCAGTAATGTTTAATGATCAGTTATGGAAGGAGAAAAGAGAATATGAATGTGTAAATTTAAGAATTATGTGGATTAAAGTAAAAGGGTTTGGGTGCGAGAAGTGGGTCATAATAAGCGTGTATGCACCTGGAGAAGAGAGGAATGCAGAGGAGAGAGATTTGGGAGATGTTTAGTGAATGTATAGGAGCCTTTGAACCAAGTGAGAGAGTAATTGTGGTAGGGGACCTGATGCTAAAGTAGGAGAAACTTTTAGAGAGGGTGTGGTAGGTAAGTTTGGGTGCCAGGTGAAATGATAATGGGAGCCCTTTGATTGAACTTTGTATAGAAAGGGGTTTAGTTATAGGTAATACATATTTTAAGAAAAATAGGATAAATAAGTATACAAGATATGATGTAGGGCGAAATGACAGTAGTTTGTTGGATTATGTATTGGTAGATAAAAGACTGTTGAGTAGACTTCAGGATGTACATGTTTATAGAGGGGCCACAGATATATCAGATCACTTTCTAGTTGTAGCTACACTGAGATTTAAAAGGTAGAGGGGATACAAGGAGAATAGAAGCATCAGGGAAGAGAGAGGTGAAGGTTTATAAACTAAAAGAGGAGGCAGTTAGGGTAAGATATAAACAGCTATTGGAGGATAGATGGGCTAATGAGAGCATAGGCAATGGGGTCGAAGAGGTATGGGGTAGGTTTAAAAATGTAGTGTTAGAGTGTTCAGCAGAGTTTGTGGATACAGGAAAGTGGGTGCGAGATTGAAGAGGAGCGATTGGTGGAATGATGATGTAAAGAGAATAGTAAGGGAGAAAAAGTTAGCATATGAGAAGTTTTCACAAAAGTAAAAGTGATGCAAGGAGGGAAGAGTATATGGAGAAAAGAGAGAGGTTAAAAGAGAGTGGTGAAGCAATGTAAAAAGAGAGCAAATGAGAGAGTGGGTGAGATTTTTATCAACAAATTTTGTTGAAAATAAGAAAAAGATTTGGAGTGAGATTAACAAGTTAAGAAAGCCTAGAGAACAAATGGATTTGTCAGTTAAAAATAGGAGAGGAGAGTTATTAAATGGAGAGTTAGAGGTATTGGGAAGATGGAGGGAATTTTTTTGAGGAATTGTTAAATGTTGATGAAGATAGGGAAGCTGTGATTTCGTGTATAGGGAAAGGAGGAATAACATCTTGTAGGAGTGAGGAAGAGCCAGTTGTGAGTGTGGGGGAGTTCGTGAGGCAGTAGGTAAAATGAAAGGGGGTAAGGCAGCCCGGGATTGATGGATAAAGATAGAAATGTAAAAGCAGGTGGCGATATAGTTTTGGAGTGGTTGGTGGAATTATTTAATAAATGTATGGAAGAGGATAAGGTACCTAGGGATTGGCAGAGAGCATGCATAGTTCCTTTGTATAAAGGCAAAGGGGATAAAAGAGAGTGCAAAAATTATAGGGGGATAAGTCTGCTGAGTATACCTGGTAAAGTGTATGGTAGAGTTATTATTGAAAGAATTAAGAGTAAGACGGAGAATAGGATAGCAGATGAACAAGGAGGCTTTAGGAAAGGTAGGGGGTGTATGGTAGAGTTATTATTGAAAGAATTAAGAGTAAGACGGAGAATAGGATAGCAGATGAACAAGGAGGCTTTAGGAAAGGTAGGGGGTGTGTGGACCAGGTGTTTACAGTGAAACATATAAGTGAACAGTATTTAGATAAGGTTAAAGAGGTCTTTGTGGCATTTATGGATTTGGAAAAGGCGTATGACAGGGTGGATAGGGGGGCAATGTGGCAGATGTTGCAAGTGATGATGTAGGAGGTAGGTTACTGAAAGCAGTGAAGAGTTTTTAAAGAGGATAGTGAGGCTCAAGTTAGAGTATGTAGGAAAGAGGGAAATTATTTCCAGTAAAAGTAGGCCTTAGACAAGGATGTGTGATGTCACCGTGGTTTAAATATATTTATAGATGAGGTTGTAAGAGAAGTAAATGCGAGGGTCTTGACAAGAGGCGTGGAGTTAAAAGATAAAGAATCACACACAAAGTGGGAGTTGTCACAGCTGGTCTTTGCTGATGACACTGTGCTCTTGGAGATTCTGAAGAGAAGTTGCAGAGATTGGTGGGATGAATTTGGTAGGGTGTGCAAAAGAAGAAAATTAAAGGTGAATACATGAAAGAGTAAGGTTATGAGGATAACAAAAAGATTAGGTGATGAAAGATTGAATATCAGATTGGAGGGAGAGAGTTATGGAGGAGGTGAATGTATTCAGATATTTGGGAGTGGACGTGTCAGTGGATGGGTCTATGAAAGATGAGGTGAATCATAGAATTGATGAGGGAAAAAGACTGAGTGGTGCACTTAGGAGTCTGTGGAGACAAAGAACTTTGTCCTTGGAGGCAAAGAGGGGAATGTATGAGAGTATAGTTTTACCACGCTCTTATATGGGTGTGAAGCATGGGTGATGAATGTTGCAGCGAGGAGAAGGCTGGAGGCAGTGGAGATGTCATGTCTGAGGGCAATGATGTGGTGTGAATATAATGCAGAGAATTCGTAGTTTGGAAGTTAGGAGGAGGTGCAGGATTACCAAAACTGTTGTCCAGAGGGCTGAGGAAGGGTTGTTGAGGTGGTTCGACATGTAGAGAGATGGAGCGAAACAGAATGACTTCAAGAGTGTATCAGTCTGTAGGGAAGGAAGGGCGGGGTAGGGGTCGGCCTAGGAAAGGTTGGAGAGAGGGGGTAAGGAGGTTTTGTGTGCGAGGGGCTTGACTTCCAGCAGGTATGCGTGAGCGTGTTTGATAGGAGTGAATGGAGACAAATGGTTTTTAATACTTGACGTGCTGTTGGAGTGTGAGCAAAGTAACATTTATGAAGGGGTTCAGGGAAACCGGCAGGCCGGACTTGAGTCCTGGAGATGGGAAGTACAGTGCCTGCACTCTGAAGGAGGGGTGTTAATGTTGCAGTTTAAAAACTGTAGTGTAAAGCACCCTTCAGGTGGAGTGAATGATGGTGAAAGTTTTTCTTTTTCGGGCCACCCTGCCTTGGTGGGAATCGGCCAGTGTGATAATAAAAAAAAAAAATTTAATTTTCCATAAGTACCTCCAACAATTTCAACTAGAACAAATTTATACAACTTAGCTGAACCTCTTCTCAGAAAACTACATTGGCATTAGGGAATCAATATGACATGCTCTTCACCTCACTACTAACTATTATGATGTTCCACCTTCTCTTACTAGGTTTACCTGTTTTTTGACATGATACAGCTCACTGGGATTATCTGCTTTTGACATGATAAAAGCACACTGTGCATTTGCATCTCTTTACAATTATGTCAGTATCTCGTAGCATTGAGAGAAAGAATTTCTAAAAAGAGATTTGGGTGTGGTAAATCCAATGAACCCAATTTTGCTAAAATTATATTTTTAGTTCTCAGTTTAGACATCATGTATGAACCCCCCCCCTCCCAAAAAAAAGGCAGGATTGGCAAAATACACAAACTTGTAAATTTATTCACAAGAACTTTAAGTACAACCCATGAACCAAACCCTGTTACATTTCCTTTCCAATTGAGGAGACCTATTCTGATACCAGTCAGGGGTTCATAGTCCCAGAGCCATTAAAAATTTATCAACAGGTGAGCCCCTTGAGTGGGTGGTATAATTTTTCAGGGATGGCAAAAAAAATTAAACAACAGTCAGCTAGTGGCTTCTTCAGTCTAAGACAGTGAAGAACAGTAGAAAATGGGGAGTTTGGGGTAATCAGTCCCTCAGCCTGGAGTCGATGTGTTCAGTCCATCAATCTCACTAAAAGTGGACAAGAGTGGACAAGGGGCTTATATATTAACTGAAATTCTTTGCAATACTCTTAACAAGTAGTCCATAATATTGTGCTCCAAGTAAAGGCTGTCAGGGTATTAACAGACAACATGTTGCATACATTGCCAGAAGCAAGGGGCTAGTAACCCCTTCTCCTGTATAAATTACTAAATTTAAAAAGAAAAACTTTCATTTTTTCTTCTTAGGCCATCCTGATCGGCGAGATATGGCCAATTCATAAGTTACATATGTCTTCCTGAAGTGACTAAGATTTTTTTCTTTGCAGATTGGTTTACAAGGGGCAATTACAATAAAAACCAAGCACTAAACCCACAAGGGTCATACCCACAAGTGGCAATATATGAAATGTCAAGACAAAATTATGATGCATAACCTCCCCATTTGTTTACAGTCCTAATGAAATGTTGAACAACAATGAAAAGATGGATGGAAATACAGGGACATCATATACGTAAATGAATATACGTACAGTGGTCCACGTATCTGCGGGGGATACCCTCCAAGACCTACCATGGATAGTAGCAAACCCTATATATGCCATTTTTATTTACATACATACGTATAATAACGTTTAATTGATAAATTATGCAAAATAAGTCTAGAATTAGCACTTTCATTGATGGGGGAAACATTTCACAGCCAGCATCACTACTTTTGTGCTTTGGGGCCATCATTAAGCATAATTAAGGGCTATTTTTGGGTCACATTGAATTGTGGATAACCGAAACCACAGATACCGAATCCATGGACATGGGGGTTCTACTGTATACATAAGTGGTAGGTAGAGTGGAGGGACTTCAAGAAAGGATATATGCACTCAGACACTAACATGTTGCAATGTGTATTGGCTGCCAGCCAGACTTAGCATCCTTGCAGTGAACATCAACACCAGCTTGAAGCAGCACTTGTGTCAGCTCCACATTTCCTGCAATGCAGTAAATATAATTACAGACTCAATCACAATATAAGTCACATTAACATCACACATCATTTAATGAATCAGTTAATAATTCTATTTAATCATATCACCACATGAATAACTTAAGTGTAATGAACACTTGTCAATGCTATAATAACCCGCATGGAGACAAACTCAGGGTACTGATCAATCTGTATATTTCAACCTCTTTCTGGGATTCTCTAGTGAAGAGGATCCCAGAAGGGGGTCAAAATATACAGATCAATTAAGCCAATGAGTTTCCGTCTCTGTGAGAGTTATTACCAAGCACATCAACATATGCACAAAATACCCTGGAAAAAATTCTATAGGTTAATTATATTAATGCTGGTCTATCTACTTGTATTGTTGACTTTTAGCCATTTTCACCACATCAGCTGTTTCCCAGCAGAGTATGGTAATCCAAAGACAGAAACACATTCACCATCACTCGTCTAACTGCTATCTTGCTAGAAATTCCTGGCCATCATGCATCAAGTCAGGTAAGGTCCAAGCTGGGTTCCCTGAATAACTCCATACATGTTACCCAGCTCACAATCCAACAGCATGCCAAACACTGGTCTTAAAAATCACCCACTGGCACTTTCTTTTTAACCCTTAAACTGTCCAAACGTAGATCTACGTTTTTTCAACATTTGAAAGTATGTAAAAAAACGTAGACTTTTTTTTTTACATTTGAAAATGTGTAAAAAACTTTGATCTACATTTTTTTTTTTGTTATATTTGAAAATATGTAAAAAAAAAAAAAACGTAGATCTACTTTTGAAGCACTACGCATGTGAACGTAGATCTGTTTGGACAGTTTAAGGGTTAAAGGAGAGACAAAGTATAATGCAATCATTTACTGACAATGTTTCACCCACACAGTGACCTTTATTAAGTCATAAACAGATCAATACAGTACACACACAACCCACACATAGCGAAAAGAAACTTGGGACGTTTCGGTCCGACGTGGACCGAAACGTCGATGTAAGTTTCTTTCTCTTATGTGTGGGTATTCTTGTGTATTGTTCCAGTCATGGTATTATGTCCTTTTATTCTTTCTAGATCAATACAGACTTGTGTTATACTTCATTTATCTCTCTTTATTCCATCATGTTGGTACGTATTGAATACCATTCATCTCCATTTTTTTTTTCTAAGCTCCATTTTGAAAAACAGCTGATGTGGTACAAAATAAAGTTTTATACATTTATTAGAGGTGTCGGGGTAAAAACTTATTGCAAGGTTTGGTCTGGAACCAAACCGTGGGACGAGTAAGTCCCTAGAGTCATTTGCAGGAAATAACTGAAATCAAGGTAGCAGGTCTGCTCTGGGACCAAGCTAGGGAGCAGCAAATCCCTAGAATCATTTGCAGGTGGTTGACATCAAGGTAGCAGGTCTGGTCTGGTCTGGGACTGAGCTGAAGGAGCAGCAAACTCTGGGAATCAATTACAAGTACTAATTGAAATCAAGGTTGCAGGTCTGATCTGGGACTGAGTTGGAAGAGCAGTAAATGCTAGGAATCAATTACAAGTATTAACTGAAATCAAGGTAGCATCTTATATCAAACATGATGTATGCAGATGATGCAGTTTTTTCTGCCAGAAAAAGAATGAGATACAGTGCATGTCTGACACAATGTTGATGTATCTAAGAAGAGACAGATGTAAATGAATGTAAATAAGAAAACTGATGAAAATTAATGTAAATAAGAGTAGACTGGTTGAGTTTAACCCTTTCAGGGTTGAAAATTTTTCGGAAAGAAAAAATTCTTATAAAATGATAATCTTTTCCCAATCATAATGATGCCAAAAGTATGAAATTTCATGGAAAACCTACAGAATTATGTTCTCTAAGCGGTCTCGGCAATGTTTGTGCATCGGCAATTTTGCCCACTTTGAGCCCTATTTTCGGCCAATTCCAGTGAACTAGTCGACAAAAAATCAAATCTATTTCCCCAGAACTCCATTTTTTCTATCGAATGAGTACAAGAAACCACACATATACTGATTTCAACTATCCAATAAAGTGGTCAGAAATTGGCAATTTTGCCAATTTCACACAAATTTCAAAAGATGCCAATTTCCAGATAGGGTCCAGAATAAACAAGACAGGCATTCCTGGCACTAAAATAACATTTTCTCTGTTCATTAGTCAAGTCCCCAGGCCCCTCTTACATCTCTTTTGCTTTCCACTTCAAATTTTTATTCTCACAAAAAATAGAAGATTTACTGTTATGCAGACTACTGCATTAGTGTAGAAATGGTATAAATAATATTAGTGCACTTGTGAAAGAATATTAGACTCACCAGTTGACATGTATCGGATGCTTGGCATGATTTGTTTACTTTTGAACTCGGTAAAAATCGAACATTTCTGCTACTTTGAGCTTGATTTCAAGGTATTTTTCATTATGAAACCAATCAAAATCATCTCAATTTCTGTAATATGTCTTCCATTCTATAAAATGAGACCAGGAAAACTAAAATACAACCATAAATACCATACGAAAATACACTGCAAAGTTGCTGTTTTAAACCAAAAACACGGTCAGAGTTTTTTTTCTCATTATGCACTGTGTGCTGTAGGATTTTTTTTTATACTGTGCACACAGACCACATAGACCCATTCTTTCATATGTAGGCCTACCAGCTTTCTCTCACTAGATTTGAAGGCACTAGAATTTAGGCGTACTAGTACAGTGGACCCCCGCATACCGTTGGCATCACATAACGATTAATCCGCATACCGCTTGCTTTAATCGCAAAAATTTTGCCTCGCATACCGCTTAAAAACCCGCTCACCGATTTTCGTCCGAGACGCGTCCAATGTGCGCCCTCAGCCAGCCTCACATGTGCTGCCAGTGGCATTGTTTACCAGCCAGCCTCCGCGGTAACATCCAAGCATACAATCGGAATATTTCGTATTATTACAGTGTTTTTGGTGCTTTTTCTGGAAAATAAATGACCATGGGCCCCAAGAAAGCTTCTAGTGCCAACCCTACAGCAATAAGGGTGAGAATTACAATAGAGATGAAGAAAAAGATCATTGATAAGTATGAAAGTGGAGTGCGTGTCTCCGAGCTGGCCAGGTTGTATAATAAACCCCAATCAACCATCGCTACTATTGGTGGTACAGCTGCTGCTGCTGCTGCTGCACTGTCAGCTGCTGCTGCTGCTGTAGCATCGTCTGCTGCTGCTGTAGCATCGTCTGCTGCTGCTGTAGCACTGTCAGCTGCTGCTGTAGCATCGTCTGCTGCTGCTGTAGCATCGTCTGCTGCTGCTGCTGCTGTAGCATCGTCTGCTGCTGCTGCTGCTGTAGCATCGTCTGCTGCTGCTGCTGCTGCTGTAGCATCGTCTGCTGCTGCTGTAACATCGTCTGTTGCTGCTGTAGCATCGTCTGCTGCTGCTGTAGCATCGTCTGCTGCTGCTGCTGCTGTAGCATCATCTGCTGCTGCTGTAACATCGTCTGTTGCTGCTGTAGCATCGTCTGTTGCTGCTGTAGCATCGTCTGCTGCTGCTGTAGCATCATCTGCTGCTGCTGCTGCTGCTGTAGCATCGTCTGCTGCTGCTGTAACATCGTCTGCTGCTGCTGTAGCATCGTCTGCTGCTGCTGTAACATCGTCTGTTGCTGCTGTAGCATCGTCTGCTGCTGCTGTAGCATCGTCTGTTGCTGCTGTACCACCGTCAGCTGCTGCTGCTGCTGCTGTAGCACCGTTGTTGGTGTGGCTTATTGAGAATACCAAGAAACAATTAACCCCAGAGGATTTGCCACCCAGGATAACCCAAAAAAGTCAGTGTCATCGAAGACTGTCTAACTTATTTCCATTGGGGTCCTTAATCTTGTCTCCCAGGATGCAACCCACACAAGTCAACTAACACCCAGGTGAACAGGGAAAAATGCCTGGAACTAGTGCTCATATTGGTGAATTTAAAGCCAGCAAAGGTTGGTTTGAGAGATTTAAGAATCGTAGTGGCATACACAGTGTGATAAGGCCTGTTCTGGAAGAAAATGCCAAACAGGACCTACAGTACTCAGGAGGAAAAGGCACTCCCAGGACACAGTGTCTCATCAGTCATTGCTGCATCTTCAATAAAGGTGTCATTTATTCTTCATTTAGTAGAGTAGTACATGCACAATATATATTGTGCATATACTACTCTACTATTGTGCATGTATCCTTCTCTTTGTGTGTAGGAAAATGTATATTTCATGTGGTAAAAAATTTTTTTTCATACTTTTCGGTGTCTTGCACGGATTAATTTGATTTACATTATTTCTTATGGGGAAAATTCATTCGCATACCGATTATTTCGCATAACAATGAGCCCTCTTGCACGGATTAAAATCGTTATGCGGGGGTCCACTGTACATCAATAATCCTGGTGTGTAAGCCGTACTAGTATGTCGGAAACCCTGAAAGGGTTAATTGAATTTTTCTTACTGTCAATTACTGTGCTACACTCTGAATCTAATGTCATGTATATATGTTCAAAAGAAATACTTTTATTCTATGTACATCCTTAACCCTTTCAGGGTTTCCAAAGTACTAGTACGGCTTATGCACCACGGTTATTGACATACTAGTATGCCTAAATTCTAGCACCTTCAAATCTAGCAAGAGAAAGCTGGTAGGCCTACATATGAAAGAATGGGTCTATGTGGTCAGTGTGCGCAGTATAAAAAAAATCCTGCAGCACACAGGGCGTAATGAGAAAAAAAAACTTTGACCATGTTATTGGTTTAAAACAGTGAATTTACACTGTATTTTCGTATGGTATTTATGGTTGTATTCTAGATTCGTGGTTGCATTTTATAGAATGGAAGACATATTACAGAAATTGAGATGATTTTGACTGGTTTCACAATGAAAATTGTACCTTGAAATTGAGCTCATAGTAGCAGAAATGTTCGATTTTTGCCAAAGTTCAAAAGTAAACAAATCATGCCATGTGTCCAGTACACATCAACTGGTGAATCTA